CTATTTTTAATTTTACAGTAGTTTCTGTGTATGTTTTTTTCCCTTTGTTACATGTTTTGTGTGGGACCAATCTAAAAAAATAAAAAATAGTGGCGCTTTGAAGAAATCCAAATGCTTCTTGGATGTAGAAAAAAGTTTCTATTATATTGTTGATTCTTTACAGTGGCTGGATAAAACCTGATTATGCATCCTTGCACAACATTAAAAACCCTCAATATACAACATCTGCCTTAGATTATAAAGTGCTTTTTCTTATAGCGGACAGATGAGGTGTACATACTATTTTTGTATCACAATGTTAAAAGTTATGGGTTTTTATATCCGTTAAAAACATGTATATTTTGATTACAGCTATGGACCATCATCATGCAAAAAATATAGTTCAATATAAAATGGTTAAAATCAGGATTACACTGTTTTCAGTCTTTATCTTGTTCTTCATGACATTCCTAGTTGTACTTTTTGCCTTCAATAAATATTATTTGTTTACTCAAGTCTGTGTCCATGACGTTTATTCTTGTGTCAATAAATGAAGAACAGCTGAAACACTTTTACGCAGGATTATTACAGAAATTACGCAAACGCAAGTACTCGTCGCGAGCGTTATTTGGACAAAACAAAGTTGTGGGAACGCTAGCGTCGCGTTTTGCATCGACGCACAAATCAGACTAGATCGCTACTAACGTTATGTTTTCAACGGCTCTGCTAGTAGCTACCGTTTTGTTCGACGGTGTTGCTTAGAATATGATTCAAGCAGTAAAATTACCATAATAGCCACATTTTCAAAATACCACAATGGAAAAGAAGAGTTAACGTTAAACGCGTCCATTCCCTCAGACGGGAACCTGATCTCGTTGTTGATTCCCCTCAGGACACAATTTACCGTAACACTACTTGTGCTGCCGTCTTCAATCAGGAAGAGGAACTGGATTCTGTCGTTAAAGCCAACTTCATAGTTGTGTGTGGGTCTTCTCTTGTCTTTAGAAATCACGAACGCAAGCTACTATGACACATTTAAGACTGCTCCCTCTGGTTTTGACTTTGTGGGCTGTTTCTTTCGCCGATGACACGAGCAATAACACCACCACCACTAAACCCCCCGCTCTCAAGAACACTTCCAGCATCAGTAACGTTACAGAAGAGTCTCAGAAAAATGCCGCCACCACCAACTCAAAAACGGGCTTCGATCTGGACGGCGCGATGATAAACAGGGCTCTGTATGTTCTGATCGGGATCACGTCTATCGGAGTTCTGTATTTCTTAGTGAGAGCTGTCCGGTAAGTTAAGTCATCTGGAAATCATGTCAAGTGAGGTTTTGTATTAAGTGTTCTTACCTTGACAGTATGTTCGTTGTATATGATGCTTATACGTAGACAGTGATACAAAATGCAGCGTTGTCATGGTAAGAAACTTTGAGGATTAAGTCATACAACCTGTTATTTGACCTCGATCAAGACTATCTGGGCTATATAAAGTTTTATTTTGTTTTAGTAGTAGTGGGACAAGATAAGCTATAATTCCCAAAGAGCTGCACGATGGACCTTGTTTGAAGGTGCGCTAGATATTAATTTGTGTAAAACTTTTTTATTAGCAGTACACGTTTGCGATTTATTTTTATTTTTTTGGTAACGTACACTCACTTAACATGATTGTAGAGTCATCAACCTTGTTGAAAACGCTGTTTTATTCTACGTGGAGCGGGTCGCCCCGCCATGGGCGCCGATGTGTGTCACATGACCAGCAGAGTCAGCAATCGAGTTAATCGACTATTACTAGGGTGGCTGTATGTTCTCTCTTTACAGTACTTGTCCAGGTTTTGTCTTTGTTTTCCTATTGATGTAGTCTTTATGGTCCTCATACATTATATGTATGCTTATTTTTATTGCTTTGACCGTTCAATATTGATCTAGCCTTCTCGCACCCCACCAGTCATTACCTTCAGCAAGTATGTAAACAATAGGAAAACAAAGGCAAACCCTGGATATTTTATGCAATTTAAAGATCCCAGCCAAAACATTTCAGGGAAAAAGGACATTTGGTCACCCTAACTATTACTTACAATAACAACAACAATGTGTTTACTTTACAATGGGCTCACATTTAAGTCATAATTTGCTGATAAATGTATAAATAAGAAGGTGAATAGATTAATTGTATTTTTAGTTTGTTTCTTCAAGTGTATATTGTCTCTGATTTGTGCTCTCATTCCAGTCTGAAGAAAACAGGTGTTAAGAGGAAGAAATACGGGCTCCTGTCAAACTATGACGACACAATGGAAATGGCCCACCTAGAAAGCGACGAGGACGATACCACTGTTTATGAAGCCAAATCTTTAAGAAGGTAGTCAAACACTAGATTATCCTACCAGATCTTCAAATGTTGACATAAATAACGCTCGGTCTCTGCTCAGCTTCAGACTTTGGACTGTGATGTTGGAAATCTATACCTCAGATAGTATCTTGTCTGACCTGCTTTTTAACAGCTTTTCTTTTCTGCTTCTTTCAACAGATGAATTGTTGACTAACTGCCAGAAATATTATATGATGAAGACAATCCCATTATTTCCACCAAATGTTTGTTGAATGATTTTGTTGTCATTTTCTACAACCATGAGAGGATCTAGTCACTATGCTTGGATGCCTTTTTCCACGATTAAATGGAATGTGTAGGTTTAAACTAGATATATTTTGGACTGATATGACCAAATAGATCTTCTTGGACATTTCTTGGAAGGTCATAAATTTTGTTGTGGCAGAAGGTCAAAACTGTGTTTTGTGCCAAAGTTCTTTATGCATAATTCTTAGGGGTTTGAAACTCTTGTCTGAGTTGACGTGTGTTAATAATTAATATTGTAAAAGATTGGCCCTCATTTCCAATCCACCAACGCTGAAAAGCCTGAAAGTTGTTTGCTAATTTATGGGACCATTATATTGTTTGGACTATCTAAATTTGTCATTTTTTAGGTGTACTGTCAAATTATGATAGATATTATGTTTGTTTTTTTGTTTTTTTCCAAATATCCTTGCTTTTGTTCTTATCTTTTCTTTGTGTCATTCTTTCATTACTATACTGGGACTGTACAGATGTGAATTATTGAATAAGTGATTCTGCCAAATACCAGCATATGTAAGAGATGCACTTTGATTTTTAGGGTTTAGAAACTACAACAGCAAAACATGGTATTTTATGACTTGGCGTCACTCCTGACCACTCATCAGTGTACCATTTCAAGATTTTTTTGCATAAATAAAAGGAATTACGTTTCTAAACATTCCCACTCAATGTTGGTTCCAAATGTAGATGTGCTTCTGCGTTTAGTGTTACTCAGCATGTTAACTGAGGTTTTGTGAGTCTCAACCTGCATTTTTTTTAATACAGTGGGTGTGATTCTGCATTGTGTAATGGTAACAGTTTAATGTGCTGTGAAAACAGCAAGCCATCTTGAGGTATGTGGATCCAATATCAGCATTCTCAGATTTCCAACTTGAACATTTAAGGGGTGTGTATGACAGCGTTGATGACATGGTATTCTTGAAATACATTCACTGATTATTGATGCTGTCAAATACTGTCAAACTGAAATGCATGAAGTATCACTGTATCAATATTTAATGTACATAATTTCAATGATTCCTGAAGTGTGCCTTTCATTCAGTTTTTTTTTTAAATTGCATTTGATTGGATGTGATTTGGGCTCTTTTGTAATTAAATTATCTTCTCTATTTTCATCCTTGTTAATTTTTTGATTCACTTTTGCCTTTTACATAAAACATGATGTATTTAGATGTAATAGATTTAAGAAATGCCCCTAAAGCAAGTAAGGATCAATGGTGATTTAGCATACTAAAGTTAATCAGCTGATTTTTATTTTACAGTATTTTACAGACTTCCTACAGATCAGCAGTTTTTTTTCTCTTCCATCACAAAGTGTAGTGACCCATCATCAGATATGTCTCACTCTTGGCTCAGTGATTTCCACACAGGGCTTCAGTTTAGCTTGAATTCCTGGTCAGTTTCATTGCACACATTTTCCAGATTTGAGATAAACAGATATGGCAAACAACAGGAAAGTACAACATTCTCTGTAAAGAATTCACTCAGTAAATGAGTTTAAGGCTTATATACAGTGAGAAAATTATTGCAATGTGGCTGGCAAGAGTCATTTTGTGCTATATTCTTAAACTTAATTACTAGTGTTTAAGGTTTAATAAACAGTATATTGGCTGGCCCATAATTGTGCACAGTTTTAATTTTTCATTTAGTCAATAGTCATTTCACACCCGAAATAGTTAACCCTGGGTCTTTCTAAAACCCAGATGGAATCTTGGGTTATACTGTATATTGTTTAACTTTCAGGCTGTCCATGGTTTTCCCGCGGGTTAACAGTTAATCCTGGGTATTACTAAACTGACGCAGTGTTGCCAACTAATTTTCAGGGGAAGTTGCTAAAGGAAGATTGATTTGTTGCTAAAAGTTGCTAAATGACGCGATGTCATTGCGTAATCACGTTGCAAAATTGTGTCACTGTATCAAATCTCAGCAAAAAAAAAGTAAATATGTTAATTTAGATGTGTTTGTTCGATCAGTGTTTGACATCAAAGCACCGCGAGAGCAATTAGAAAGCATGCAGATCCGTTGAATTATTGTTGAACAATTGCAAATAGCATTTAACTTAAGTCACGTGATGTGTGTACTACTAGGCATCTTTGGTTTTCCTCTTTTTGTGTAATTTAGATGGAAAATGTGTGCCTTTTTTATCGTTTGAGTCACTTATCAAAAGTTGCTAAATGTTGCCAAATAAATGTAAAAAAATAGCTACATTTGTTGCTAGGTGCTTTTGGAAGAAAAAGTTGCTAGGGTAGTCTGAAAAGTTGCTAAATCTAGCAACAAAATTGCTAAATTGGCAACACTGAACTGACGTTCACACGGTACATGGCTAAACACCGGGTTAACGTTCTCATTTGCATATTAGCGGTGTCAGTGTCACTGATTGGACGAACGAAGCAAGCGACATGTTTACACAAAGGCTCTAGCATTGCTCACCCTCAGATTATTTCACGTTGTCAAAGTAAGGTAAGAATAGCGGTTTCTTTTTCTCTTTCAAGTGTTTCTGTCACCATTTGACATTTCCCCCCTTAAAAGCTAAAACAGCTTGCAAAAACTAAGCACGTGGATATGAGGCTAGCAATTCAGTGTCTGTTTTAAGGCCCTACTGAAACCAGCCTAAACTGGTTGGCTGGTTTTAGCTGGTTGGCTAGCTGGTCTCCCAGCCTGACCAGCTAAAAAAGTATATATATATGTATAAACAACCCCAAATAACCGCCCCACCAAACCCACTGAGGGGAATTCTCGCTCCAAGTTGAACTCAAAAGTTGTCATCCATGGCTTACTCCACTTCACCTGGGGATAAAACCATGGTTTACACAAATGACAACCCAGGGTTAAGTGCAGTGTTAAAAGTTATAGCTGATGCAATATAATAAGCCTGCTAACTGCAGAAGAGTGTGTCTATAGTCTAGCCTGGTCGCCGTGATTTTGCCAAGTAAGACATGTTCCTGGATCAACATTACTGTCCAAAAATACAAACTTAACCCAACCCCTACCACTAAACCTAACCTTACCCATAATTTATTCCTAAAATCAGAGGGAAATGATATCTGATTAACAAGGGTGTAGAAGCACCTAATCCTGATTGTAAGCCTAAAACGGACATTTCCTGAAAATGTATCTCTCAATTCTGATTGGTTGATTGGAATGATGTTCCAATGGAACATGTTGTACTTGGTCAAATCACGCTCACCATTCTAGCCTATAGCTCAAATCTTCAACAGTGTTGATATGAATCATATTTCTCATTTAGCTGGTTCAACAAGTTTGATACCTATAGCATTGCTTTCAGTTCATGTCCTATGCCGTTGTCATACTTTTAGCATGACAAGTAGGTTAACTCCTTTTAATCAAAGAAGATTGTAATTTTTTACTAAATGTTTGTAAATAACCACAAATCAACATTTAGTTGTTAAGTTACTAGCCTCTGTCGAGTGATAGTTTAAATACTCTAAATATAATCTATGCTGCACTTAATCTTTAAATCTCTTTTTTGTTGTTAGAACCTTCCCATTTACACTGCTAATGTTGCATTATTATAATTAATATGTGCTAGTCTTTAGTGTAATAAAAAATTTAGCAAAAGCAGCATTTCTTTCCCTTGTGAAGGGGCTTCCTTATTGTTTTATACTAACCATATAGTGGTGTCAGCGTTTTTCTCATTCTAATTGTGTGGTTTTGAATTAGATTTTTTTTTTTAATGACTTCTTTCATGTGATTTTCAGTCACTAGATGGCGCCATCTGTCTGTCTATTAGCAGAGCACACTATGCATAACACATACACACACTCACACTGTCAGCTGTTGCCCAGTTGAGTTTGGCCTCCTTCCTGCCTTATGAACCATTAAAACTGCTAAATAACACGGAGAATTAAGTCTATAAACATCATTATGCTGGAACAACAGAAAGGTTCATATTCTCCAAATTCAGCCACATCTGACACATCAGCACAGAAATAGCACTCTTCAAATCCAGGGTCAAAAGGGGTCAAAACACACATAATCATTATATTACATTAACACCATAATGAGTTTTGTCATTTTCTGCCCACATCATCACTGCTTAATGAGCAACAGTCTTTCAGAAACACCATATTTCAGAATAGAAACTATAATTCTGTTGAGTTGAAAGATGAATGCTACGACAGATGAATGAAAATGACAAAAAACACTAATTTGATTCTCAAAATGATCCAATGTTCATTATCAAACAACGAAAGCTAGAATAACATATTATAACATATCAATATCACAAATTTATTGGCATTTATTTTGTCAACACCTTGAGATTGGTTTTGAAGTAGCCTACCTTGGTGTTCTTTATATACCCCAGTACATGAATACGGTTAATTACCTTGGTACTATTTGATAGAATCACCTTACCTGTGCAACCAAAATAGTTTTTTGTAATAATATTTCTATTTAAACAAATTTGAAAAAAGCATCCTAAAATTGAGCATTTTTAATAATTTGTTAAAACGTTGAAAATCATACATAATCTTTTAGCATTGCAATAGTGTAGTAAAAAAAAAACGTAGACAAAATCCACTTTGAGCAGATAAGCATTTTAAAGTGCTGTTTGTCATTTTTTGACTGTACTAAAGCTTAAAAACGCCATAATTTGCAGATATTCAGGAAACATGTTCACATACTTGTTTCTCCAAAAAACACTGCTACAGCCAGTTAATCTACTTTTAAAAATGTGAATTTTAAATGTGTAAAAATGTTCTGTGTCGGCATGTCTGTTTTTGTTTTGGTCTGTGTGATTCCACCCAAACGAACTGGGTCAAAGATTGCAGAGTCTACCCGACCTAAAAAGCCTCGACATCCATCTAAAAAGCTCTATGACCACAGGCATATTAAAAAGCAGATAAATCAACTCATCAGTTTACAGTGTAAGGTTCGTCGCCTTCCGTTGTCAGTTGCGCTTGTTCGTGTTGCGTGTCCTCAATCTAGCAACCCGCATGAGCATTGAGTCTGAGGAGGGGGCGGGAGAAACAATATTTTTCAGCCACTAGCTGTCATTATTACTTTTAAAATTTACAGTCGTTTCCTTTGGGCAAACAAAACAACACCTACTGATGACTCATCCTGCATTACACAGATTTTTGACCAATCAAATGCTCCCTGAATGATAATGTCCCGCCTCCTAATGCCACAAGCAACCAACTAGCAAGTTCGTTGCTGCCACATTTTTAAATAGTATTAATATTATTATTTAGAGATTAACCATTTGATATATTCTGTCTAGGCTTCCTTTTTCAACACAAAAATTGTCAACACATGAACAGAAAATTGTGCTCATCTAGTGTTTTTGGGGGGGTTAAGTACATTTCATTTGTAGCATTCATGCTTTATTTGCCTGTCTTGAAATGTTTCTCAATGTTAAGCTGCAAACGATTTTTCTTGCTGGAACAATTCATTGTCCTCTGAATGGATTCGCTTTTGATGATTCTGGTTGACTCTAGTCAAGACCAATTTACTGACCTCCTGAAAATGTGGGGAGACAAGCCAACAAGGAGAACAAATGACAAATGCTATTGATCGCCACAGCAGGAATTTGGAAAAATGCAGAAAAAAAGGAAGAAATACTAGAAATGCAATGGCTAAGCTCTGTACAGAATCCCACTTTTAAGAAGCATGCTAGAAGAGAGATTAATTCAGGCAAAAAAAAAAAAGCAAAGAAAATCCAACTTAGTGAAAAGCTACGCTCGGACTGTTTGAAAGGCAGAAGAGCATTGGTGTGTTGTTGATGATCATCCCAGCTTGATTCAGCACTCCATCTGCGCTCTCAGCCGTGAAAAGCAGCTCCCGCTTGATGCCTTTTAGATGCTGCTCGGCAGATAAAAAATTACCTTTTGTGCCTCTTTGTCTGAAATCCGGAGGCTGGTGTGGAGATTTTCCTGGTTCCCCACTGAGTCGATCTGGCTTTCCTTGGCCATTTGTCCATTGTCTGCACAGCAAGCATAAAATATTCCTCCTGGAAGTTTCACGCAATTTTCAGCTAAAGCTGTAGCTTTTGCATTGTGTTCTTCTGCTGACTGACATCAGTTAAAGAGCGCATCGGCGTCCGTCAGCCTCACCCGTGGGTCAGAGAGATGCTGAGGATGTTTCTGCTGGTGGGTTTGGTGCATTCATGGTGATTTCCCTGTTGACCAAAGAGGCCTGACCCGGGGAGGAAGAAACTTCTTCTCATCTCTCTTTCTGCTATTTTGTGTCCTTTCTCAGCTTTGGGACAGCATCTGCTTAAATCTATAATAAATACCAACAATTTCACAAAGGACAGTTTCAATCTCATGTACTTTACTGTATGACAAAAACTGATGCAAAAGCTCCCCGTAAGGAAAAACATGTTTTTTCAGCCCAATTTCCAAAAATATATGATGATTAAAATTAATTAATTATTAATTTTGTGTTAAAAATGATAAAAAAGTTTGTTGTGATATATATATATATATATATATATATATATATATATACACACGCACACATTTAATTTTTAATATTTTTTTAATATGTATATAGTTCATATTTTTATAAATATTTTCTAAATATAGTTTATAAAACAAAATATTTATAAAAAAAGAAGGTAACATGAAGGTATCATTTATTAAAAGGGATACAATAAAGATTAAAATAAGACTTTGTTAATAATGTCATAGCACTTGCATATCATTGCTCTTTTGTTGATTTTGATTGTTTCCATTGTCCTCATTTGTAAGTCGCTTTGGATAAAAGCATCTGCTAAATGAATTAATGTAAATGTAATGTTGATAATAAACCTTTAGTAGTTTAGCAGTATACATTCTAAGCTTCTTACTATTCTCTATAAAAAGTAAGCATTATTCCACAGTAAAAATGTAAAACAGTAGTACTGATATTGTTGATCTTGCCATGTTGTATGTGTCCAGTTATCATCTTAAAAATAAGGCTAAATTATATTACATTTATTTCATAAATCAAATGAAAAGAGAATACAAATCACCACTGTATTTACTTCTGTTTCATTAATCTTATTGAAATGGAAGGTCATGTGCATTGCATTGTGGGATACACAGTACTCCGTGTAGTGTGCACTGCTGTATGCTGCACATTTTGACAAATGTAATAGGTTTTGCAGTATTATATACAGAAAATGTGCATACTGTGCACAGCATGCATACTACAACATAACCCAATCCACATGACTTGTATGCAAAAAATTATCTAATGCTATATATTACAAATAGTCAAAATCATTATTTACAGTATATACAGAAATAATACGAATAGTATGTTAGTATGCTACTCCGAATGTAATCAGACCGCATTCTGGGCTGTGGGGAACTACTAATTTCCCCCCTGAGCAGTTAGTTAATTGACCAATTGACCTTTAATAATTGCCTGTAATTGTTGCATTGTAGCTTCACCAGAGACTCTAGAAAGTTAATGGAAAGGAAATCATGACACTGTTCTCTATCGTATAG